TATTCTCGTCGATAAACGTGTGTCGACGTTTTAAGATAATTACCAATACCATTCAATTAGTCGTTACATTTTTGCAATATATTCTCTTATCTCTAATTGAACGATCATTGAATTGTGTATCATGCGTTTTGTATGTTTTATAATTATGTATATATATAGATAATATAATACTGTATTGTATATTTCACGTAAAATATGTTTTCTAAGATGTTATGTTTATATACATATATCAAACATATTATTCTGATATATTCAGCAAAATAAAAGCATATTTCTTTACAAAATTATTTTTTTCAAATATTATATTCAAATCAATGCGAAAATATTGTATATTTTTTTTATTCGCGAAAAATGATATTTTGTCATACATACATATATTATATTTGCATGATATTACAACTCGATATTAATATTTTAATACCTACATTATCGGATTAATTTACATATAAAAATAAATTGATGTTAATCTATAAAGCAAAAAAATGAGCGTGATCTGAGAACACAGAAGTAAATAGTTTTACAATAATCATCTAATAAAGAAACTCATTCTACTGAGAGTCGGTTTCATTTTATCTTTCGAAGAACTTATGTTGTCACTTTAAATTTTCTCGATGACATATTTCAATTTAAAAACGCGAACACAAAATGAGCATCGTTCTCAGGGGGTAATCCGTTATTGACAGCTCGGATTATCCAAGTTCGCTAGTACATCTGGCTACTGGTTGGCAACGACGTGAGCGAGTTCCTTCGCTATCATGGCGAATGTCGGCGTAACAGGGACAATACGTGCGATGAGAATCGATTTGGTTCGATGGGCGCTTCCGCGCAATGAGGTAGCCTCACTCGATCTTGGTAAACCACCTCCTGCATAGGGAATTTGCCACCGTCTACCGACTGAAACCAATCTCCGTCAACCGAACCGCTCCACCATTTTAATCTGAAACATCCAGACGAACGAGACATTCGCGGAAACGAATCCCTGGGACGGTCTTGCGAAACGAAATCAGCCGCACACGCGGATATCCCAAGCAAAGAGAAAGAGAGAGAGAAAGAGAGAAAGAGAAAGAGCCCTTCTTTTTTCTTGGCGTCATGCTTGCAAGCGCTTGGAACGTTATCGAAAAAGTTCAGCTTACGAAGCTGCCAAACTCAATGGAAAACATTCTAATTTACTGAAAACCCCTCGAGAATTTTTATATGTCGCGAAATATTTTATAGCGAGATAGATCGACATTTATGGTCTCTTATAATAATGAGAAACAGACAATTTCATATTATATGAAAAAATGGAGGATTTTAATAATTACAAAAACAAGATTTTTAAGAGATTTGAAAAGAATTCTTAACTTATATAATCAAATGAAAGCAACTGATAAGAAACTTAAATTTATACTTTAATCTTCAAGATGTTAATTCGATAAATATTGTTGTACCTAAAAAATGTCAATAATTTTAATTTTTCTTTGAAATGAATGTAATAAATACAAGAAGAAGTAAACGAGAGAAAATTCTATGTATATTAAAGTAAGCAGAATATAAAAGAATACATTTTTAATTATTTAGATAGCGCGTTCCATAAATGTCATCTTAAACATTCATAATGAATGACCTGTCATTGATAGATCAGAGAAGTATAATTTTAACGTGATTTGGCAATTTAAAAGTAACATGAAGGAATCAGATAGAAAAAATGTTCAAAGTTTAATTAGTCTACATATTCATTCAAGTACGCCATAGTAATGAAAACCTCACGAAACAATTTCTACATTGTGATTTTGTACAATGTAAGTCTAATTCTTATAACAATGAGAAACATACAATTTCATATTATATGAAAAAAATGGAGGATTTTAATAATTACAAAAACAAGATTTTTAAGAGATTTGAAAATAAATCTTAACTTATATAATCATATGAAAGCAACTGATAGGAAACTTAAATTTATACTTTAATCTTCAAGATGTTAATTCGATAAATATTGTTGTACCTAAAAAATGTCAATAATTTTAATTTTTCTTTGAAATGAATGTAATAAATACAAGAAGAAGTAAACGAGAGAAAATTCTATGTATATTAAAGTAAGCAGAATATAAAAGAATACATTTTTAATTATTTAGATAGCGCGTTCCATAAATGTCATCTTAAACATTCATAATGAATGACCTGTCATTGATACATCAGAGAAGTATAATTTTAACGTGATTTGGCAATTTAAAAGTAACATGAAGGAATCAGATAGAAAAAATGTTCAAAGTTTAATTAGTCTACATATTCATTCAAGTACGCCATAGTAATGAAAACCTCACGAAACAATTTCTACATTGTGATTTTGTACACAATGTAAGTCTAATTCGAGTTAATAGGTATCACTCGCGGTTTTGCGTGCGGAAGAATTTTGACTCGCTGCGAGGAATCACGGTACGAACCTGCACTCTAGATGTGCGTCATCATTAGTGCCGGAGGTACAGGTTATCACCGGGTTATATATACATATATGCAACTATATATATGTATATCCATCTCCGCGATGCACACGCGAAATCCGGATAAGCCGTACGATTTGCCGTACGACGGCACGACCTAACGACACGGGTTATGAATAACAGGGGGAAATCCCGGGAGGGCTCCCTCTTCTGTATATGATACAGGCTGTCGTATTTCGGTTAGGACCTCCGACGCTCCGCGACATCGTCGCCCTGCCCGGGATAATCGATTGCCGGCGCATTCAGCGCGCAAAGATACCTCTGCGGGATGCATCGCTCGCGCGCGGTTATTGTTGGAAACAGCCGTGCACACGGGTCGCACGTGTGCATTTCAATGACACCGTCCGGAAAGATAAATAGGCACAGGTATACCGGAGCTTTATTTTCGGCTTGCTGCGCATTTGCCTCCGCGATCGTTTCACCCGACGTAATCCCACGTCTATATTTGCGGGCGGCGTTAAAAACAGTGATATATCCTGTGTGAAATGCGGCTAAAATCCCACATCATAATTGTGCACCAAAATGGAGAAAGATTTTCGAATCGTATTATTTGATTGTACGCGAATAAAAAACTCAATAGCGGTGCTATAAAAGTATGAACTCACATTTGAACGAATTAATTTTTTTTTTTTAATCGTACTTGAATAATGAATAAGTATTGTAATCATTATTTTCGAATCGTATTATTTGATTGTACGCGAATAAAAACTCAATAGCGGTGCTATAAAAGTATGAACTCACAATTTGAACGAATTATTTTTTTTTTTTATCGTACTTGAATAATGAATAAGTATCGTAATCATTATTTTCGAATCGTATTATTTGATTGTACGCGAATAAAAAACTCAATAGCGGTGCTATAAAAGTATGAACTCACAATTTGAACGAATTAATTTTTTTTTTTTAATCGTACTTGAATAATGAATAAGTATCGCGTAATCATTATTCTTTCCATATAGTGCAAATTATAGTTTTTGTTTAGTGTATAAAATATTCTTAGTTCTTATATAAATTTATATTTGTATAGTCAATTACTAGAGAATTAATTTATTTTGTCGCGCAAAAGTATATGTTAGCGGAAAAAAGTTAATTCGCTCCCTGAATAAAATTAATTGAAAAAAAGCGATATATCATTATATGTAAATATTAAAACAGATTCTTGCATAATATTCATCCATTCGCAAGGATCCAATGATCGATGTTTCGCTCGACGATGTAAAGCTACGAAACATGTTGAACCGATTTATTGTAGAATCTAGAAAGCGGATAAATATAAATCTTTCAAAGAAGCTATATCCCTAAGAAAGAAACCGTAAGATGGACGTCGAAATGACATCCGTGCGAGAGTCTGTAGATTCACTGAAAAATGTATGGCTATGAGAATCCTTCGCATTAGTGCTGGAAAATCAATAATGCAATATTAATCCGCGTAAATGACGCGAGCGAGAAAATCCTAATGGGCTGTAACATGTCGATATTATACGTATATTAATTAATAATTAATTATTCAAACTAATCTATTACAGTAATCAATATTACAGTAGCAATATTATGCGCTTTAGTTAATTAACCCATTAACGTTCATTCTTATGTGAGTAATCGATAATTTATTTATTTTGAAAAATTCAAACATTACATGAAGATTTCTAATTCTATTTTTCCATTCTTTTTTCTGTGTGACGCAAACTTTTAAATTTTTAGAAACCCTACAAATAATATATATTAAATTAAGCGAAGAAACCCAAGGAAATATTAATTCTACGGATTTAAGTCAATATAACTATATATCTGAATCTTTATTTTTAGATTTATTTATATAGTTTAATTTTTTGTAGCAACATATCTATTTGAAAAATTAGAATATACACAAACAATTTAATCACGTCGAACAATATAAATAACATATGAAAAATTTCACGATGTATAATTTAGAATCAGTAAAAATAAAATTAAGAAATATTTTAAATTAAATACTTCAGTTTTATTTTTCGATTGATTTGTAATTTAATTTTTCGCAACAACACATTTATTTGAAAAATTAGAATATACACACAAGTAATTTAATCATGTCACAACGATATAAATAACATGTCAAAAAATTCACAATGTACAATTTAGAAACAGGAAAAATAGAATTAAGAAATATTTGTGAAGTAACGCGTTAATGTAAAAGAAAAATAAAAATAAAGTCAAAGATAGAATCTTTCTATTCCTTCTCTATAGATCGTCTTATTTCCAATCTAAACGATTCTGTTGCCATATACACAAATTCGTTTTACGATCGGTATACGCGAATTCGATTTGTTCAACATCCATAAAAAGTAATATTTGTGCCGATCATTGTGTTTATTCGTCCAAGAAATTCATATAGTAAATCTTTTGAATTTTTGCCGTAATGTTCTCAATCTAGTAAGAACGGAAAATGTTGTTCCTCGCCGAAGAAGTGAGGAATCGATTCGATTTCAAGAACGTGCGTCGACGTACATATAGATTATGGGGCCTAATATAAAAATAACTCACACAAAGACGTGTATCCCTCCAAATCGACTTCATTTCGTCCTGCACTTCATCCTCCGTGTAGCTTTAACGTGTTATTGCGCAGATACACGGCAGGTTGAGCCGTCATCGATTTCTGATACTATTCGCTATTCTGGCTCAGGAAATAAGCCGGCTCCTCAACATCTCCACTCTTTTCGTTTGCTGTCACCGAAGCGTTTACGCGATTCGGACACTTTTCTATCGGTAAACAATATTTACCGGCGCATATACGCGATGCGATCTTCTGCAATACGGTGGATTATTCTTGGAATTGTGGAAAAATGCATGGAATATATATACCTCCAAATATTCTCCCAGTATATACGAAAGATTCCGCGGGAACTGTCAAATGAGATGTACATATCGATTCTTTAAACAAACATATATTTTTAAGAACGTGAGGAAGCCTTTCTCGTTAGAAATAATATAATTACGACTATTTAATTAATGAAGGTTAGATGTAATTAGAAACGTCAATCCAAATTTTTTAATATCTATTAAATTATTTGATCGAGAAAAATATTTACTCGATTAATATATGTATTAAAAACAATAAGTTTTTATTGATTATTTAATTTGAAATTAAATATATCCATAGATCTCTACAGGTCACATAATTGGAAATAAGAATAATTAATTAGTATCATTTCAAAAATATTCTATAAATAATATAGTTATAATTTAAAAATTTAACAATTTTTAAATTAATTTTCTAAATTTCAAAACCAATTTTCTAGTTATTGTTAAAATTTTTCAAAAGTTAATTAAATCTTTTTCCTTTAATCCATTATTATTTTTAAAACGTCGCGTTGGCTTCGATTTTGCGATGAAATGTTGAAATATTAATAGAAGAAATTAAGAAAGCATTAACACAAATAAAATATTTAATAAAATTTCAACTAACTTGAAAGGATATTCATAATCATCATTTCAAACATGTTAACATGTCAAATGGATATATTATTATCGTATGATCGGATTCTGAACGTAAAAAGAAGTGTTTCTTCGCCATTTCTATTCCACGAATGTGTCCGCAATTCATTATCATACGAGATAGGTGATTGACTCGGCAATCAGGCTGGAACGAGTGCATTACGCTGAAATGCGCAATAACGCATCGCTCATTCGACGATCGAAGGACCGTAAACGTACGAAAGTGGAGAAAGACCGTCTCGCGCGACCGGCCGTCCGGCTTCGCCTGCCTGCCTGACTGTCGACTGTCCCTGACTACTTGGCGCTCCCGTTTGTCACTCGTATCACGTAGATCCGAAACTGAAGCGATTGAAACTGAAACGAGAACATTGCGAACTCGAGAAAGAAACGCCGTGAGCTGCATTTTTCGCAGAACGTATGCGTTCTCGATCATCAGATATCGCGTGAGACTGTGATATAAATATATTGTATATGTACGTATACATGCATGGACGTGTGTATGCGCAAATGCGTGCCGATATTTGATTGTGACAAATTGCATGACTTTATTTTCCTCGATAACATTGCGCGATTTTTCGTGAAAAATACTTTAATCCGTACGTGGCTACATATAGATACACCATTTTTTTCATAGTTTTCTGGATTTTAATAAAAGAGAACGAAATGTGTGCAAATTATTTGTTACACGATCGGAAAATTTTCTTTATTCATAATTAATTATTTTCTCTATTATAAAAATATTATATCTCTATTATAATATTATATCTCTATTATAATAAACATCTAATGTTATATTGCTCATAATAATGTTATATTGTATCAATATTTAGAAACTAGAGGAATTTACTTTATCACAAAAATTGTGTTTCTAAAAAAATCTAATAAACGTTGCCGCTTTTCCGACGCGTTTATAAGAACATGCACTCGCCGCATGGCGAGTGCATTTTTCCTCGGAATTGTTTTTCATTCCGACGAGCGTTTCCTATAATCGCGCGGACTCTGAAAAAGAGATCAAACAGTCGTCGACGACGCGCTGACTCACGGCTGCCGTTACGGTCCTCCACTTGCAGTTTACGATAAGATTTCGTACGGTTGTCCTGTTATTCTCGCTGAAACTGCCGAGTCATTGAAGGCAAACGAGCTACAGCACGCGGGGGATTTGCCGAGAGAACTACGGCGATACTATCGCGAGCTCGAATTCGAAACTCGATGATTCAGTCATTTTCTGGCGCATTCCGGCGCATGCAGTCGTAAATCAAACGAGTATCGCGACAAGCTTTCCCGTTAAAAAAATTGCTGAAATAATGTTTTCGATACATACATATATATATATAGTATTATACTAAAGTGATACATATTGCGCCAAGTGCGACGTGACGATTGTACGTTTGACAGCGTATCCTGTAATCTGACAGTTATTGTTATTAATCGCAAAAATTGTGTTGCACATTTTTTGTACGCGGTTGTGAAGGAGATTGAGGCAATTTTTTGTTAAAATTTTCTCGCGAACTCCATTTTTAAAAGCTCTTATAAAATTTTTAATCTCTCGTTAGCAATATTATACTGAAAATTATAACAAAATACTAAGAATAAACAAAACATGATAACTGAGAAAATGTGATAATTTGAAATAATTATGTTATTTCAAATTATATATATATATATATATTTACGAAAATTGCATTTCACGCTTCAACAACATCGAGATCTTAGAAACTATCAGCAATCTAGCTACGGAGATCAAGAGAGAGAAGTCAATTACTAACTGCATTTCACAATACTGGTGAATAGATTAAGTACGAGATAATGAAAGATACGACAGAGTGTCCTGATAGCCGGGAATGACTTCCGCCGATGCGACCAATCGATCGAAGTTCTCGCGTCACGAAGTTGCGGAGGACCAAACGCTAGGGACGAGATGATAATTAGCATCGAAGTTTCCGCAACAACTTCCTCTCTCTCTCTCGCCCGGTGCATCTGTGTGCGCGTTGCTATCTGTAGATTGAGAGACGGGCGCTTCATCGACTCTTGCGCTATTCGTTGTCATTCGCCGTTACGTTCGCCGTGGCGAAATCGTAAACCCGCGCTCGTAAATTCACGCGGCAAAGCTGCCTGTTCGTGACGAATATGATTACGCGCCGCCCCGAGAGCGTTGACATCGAGCGAACTCTCTTCGTGTTGTCGAGGACCGAGCGCGATACAATCGTGATTTATAGAGCGCACGAGTGCGTCAGGTCGCGAGTGCGCGCACACGACGACCTTTTCATCCCTCGGTAACTATATATAAACATCGGCGATATTTGTAGGTGCCTTAAAAAAAAAAAAAAAAAGAGATAAACCTCTTAAGCCAGAAGATCAATGTGTTATTGTTTTACATTAGATGTTACATGTTTTACATTAGAAGAATTATTAAAGGCACTATTACATATTGCCGATACAAAGTACTAATATTTTCTATTTTATTTATATCAATGCAGTCGCAATTCAGAGTGTATCTAGAAAAATCGTTAAGTAATTTAGTTTTTAAAGTTTGATTAAATCGGCACACGAGTTATGACATTAATTTAATTTAATTGAAATAAATAAAAATAATTTATATTATGTGCAGAAAAATTTAAAAAATTATTAACTATGATTTTATATATACAATGTTCAAATAATTTTGTGCATAATTATTTTTTATTTAGCTTTCATTTTCTGTCGTATATTTATAGCCATATTAGCATTTAAATACACTATTGAAATTGCATAAAATTAAAATACATAAAATAATATATTAATAATAATATTACGAAAATATTTGTATAATTACAAATATTAAAATAAAATAATATGAAGACATACCAAATTTATAAAAAAATAATTTTTTAAATGTAATATTAAAAAACAAAATCATCAAAATTATGTATATGTATGTAACAAAAAATAATAAAATAAATATCATATCTTAAAGATTTCTCCGCATTCTTGTAATTTCAATGAATAAAAATATAAAAATTGTTTTAAATGTTGTTCTCACATTGATTTACTACGTAATTGATATTGCATATAAAACCTAAAGTAAAATTGATTTAAAACCAGTAAATAAACTGAAACAAGAACGCTTCGCCGTCTATACATACAGCTGCCTATATGCATTTTGTATGGAGAAATCTTAGAACCGCATCGCTGGTATCATGGATCATAAAGATTTGATGGGCCATCGTGGACGAATCAAGATGCCGCAGAATCATAAACGCGTCACGTCATTTCACCAGTCAATTACTAACCGAGCACCCTTGTCGTACAAAAAGGTTATCTGTCATATATGTGTACACACTCTGTCCATTATTAATACTTTGGTGACACAAATAATTTTCTTTATAAGGGGAACGCAAGAAAAAAAGCAGAAGTTTGTATTATATTATTTAAGTCCCTTTTCTTCATGCAAAAAAAATAAGATTGCCTTTTAAGATTTGCTAACAGAAATTGGTTCTCAAGAAAAAATTCAAAATCTATCTTCCACGAAATTTAATATCATATATTAACCGCATATACATATATTGTAAAACCATAACTAAAATGTATGACCACATATAACGTCGATAAAAAAAAAAAAAGAGAAAATAGCGCAAATAAATATTCGAATTTATTGCGATTTCTACATAACAAAAAAGATATTATCAGTATCTACATAAAATGTTTCTTTATAGAAATAAAATCTATCGCATTTTAGCGCTAGTATTTCTTCTGTTAATGTTCTACTTTATCGCGTTGTGTTTGCACATTCTATGGAGAAGCTTCATTTCTTTCCTTCTCTCCTCCTCTCTTCCTCTCAATGTGACAAGACAATTCTTACGCTTTTATTCTCACGCGCTTGACGACGCGCGTCTCTTTCTTCTTATCCCCCATTCACTTCGTCCCCGTCTTCTTATCCGTCTCTTTGTATTCCCTTATCTCTCTGCTCTACTTCATATTCTCAGCTCCTTTTCGCGTCTCTCGCATTACTCTGCTGTGCATTCCTCCATACTATGCTCGCTGTATATCGAGGCGTCGTAAAATTTCGCTCACACACACACACACACATCAGAGTGATATAAATTCTCCTCAAGGTCTACGACCGCGTAAAAATCATTAAATTTCGAGGAGAGTTTTTCAAGGTAAAGCTCTCATCCTCAACGGCCCGGATCGACCGACGTTATCAACGGGCCATCGTGGTCGGACCGCGAGCCATAGCGGCGAAACCTCGGAAACTGTGTGCAATCCCATAGAGCTCAATCCGAACCGCAGGGGGTTTCTATTTTCTACACGGGATGCGACATACAGGAGATGTACCGCGTGCGAGGCGCCGTCGAGTCGTCCGAACTTGTAGTCCGAAACCATTAGTTCCTCGACAAACTGTTGCGGGAGCATTATCGTTACTTTCTTGGATTCACCTAGTGTTCTCGCCGCTTGTACTACAATGCTTGTGGCAAAAAGAACCGTCCCGGTAAAAGAAAAGATGATGAAGCGCATTTTGCGGTCATTCATATGATTCACGACAGGTATATATACTTGAAAGGGAATTCTGTTTCTATATATATATATATATATATATATATATATATATATATATATATATATAGGAGACTCAGGACTCAAAATAAAAATCTGAAAAAATTAGAGATTTTTTTTTTCTACATTTAAAGCTGATTTACGACTATCCAACATTAAAATTTTGAAAAAACCTATATAACGACCACCATATATATATATATATATATATATATTAGGGTGGTCGTTATATAGATTTTTTCAAAATTTTAATGTTGGATAGTCGTAAATCAGCTTTAAATGTAGAAAAAAAAATCTCTAATTTTTTCAGATTTTTATTTTGAGTCCTGAGTCTCCCTGTTGGCATGTAATTTTATTAATAATTTTATTAATACCACAGTTCTGCAGCTGCTTCTGTCATCAATTTTTGTTGTAAATAGTTTGAAATTTTAGTGAAAAAAAGTTGAAACTATTTGAAAATATCAAAAATATAGTATAAAATAATATAAAATAGTTAAATAATATAAATAGCGGAATAGCCCATATAATATTTATGACTATCTTTTATGAAAAATTAAATAATTTTGTTCACGACTTTTGCAGCTGACTTCATCTAGAACTGAAGTAAATTAAGTATTTTTTCAAATTATAAAAAATATAATATAAATAATATTTAAATAACATATAAATGAACTGATATAAGAATATAACATAACACGTGTAAACAGGGAGACTCAAGGCTGAAAATAAAAATCTGAAAAAATTAGAGAATTATTTTTTCTACATTTGGAGCTGATTTATGACCA